GTGTGTGTGTGTGTGTGTGTGTGTGTGTGTGTGTGTGTGTGTGTGTGTTAGCAGGGCTGACTGTGGCATAGGCAGTATAGGCAAACACTAAGGACACATCCATCCAAGGGAAAAAGCTATAACTTTTTATCAGAGTATGTCGAATAATCACTAGTTACTCAAGTTTATGAAGGTAACTTGTTCTGTGGGTTTCTCAGCTGCTTTGTTACTACATGTTATATGCAGATATTTTGTGATTAAAAATATCATATGAGACTAACTACTAGTGTTCAGAGTGTAAATAAAAACAAAATAAAGACAATGGAAGTTTCAGTTATGATCTCAGATAAAGTTCAGGTTAAAGTCTGGTTTTCATTGTTCTACCTTCACAAATAGCTGATTTTATGTTGTTATGCCTGGAAAATGCTTATGTTTGAGTAGATCTTGTACAAAATATTCCAGGGGAGTAAAACCCCTGGACCCCACTAGAACTGCTTCACTCCACACCTGCTCATTAACATAAACAGGTGTTGCTTATTGCTGTCAGCAGATGTTGGCATGTATGAGGTAGACTCATAGTATTCTGTTTCAAATTACTTATATTGTTAACTATTTTAATTCAACAACCTGGTTTCTAAATTTAAAAAATAGTATAAGAGACAAAACTATTTAATTTGGTATGCAAATCAGCAGTGGGGTTTAGGAAATTGTGCAAGGGGCTCTACCTGAAATCCTGCCTAGGGTGTCCCATTGGCCACGACTGTTAGCAAAATATTTCATGAACCACTGAACACATTTTAATGAAGTTCCAGTACAGCAAACACTGAATGTACATCTTCGAGTGATTAAATGTTGGAGATACTTCATTCAAGATGGCCACCTCAGCTGTGCTACAAAACTGCCCCCACCCCATAACTGAGTGAAATGTACAGATACTGAGATAAAATTTGGTGTCGTAGCAGCTGAGAACAATTCCAAACACATACATCAAGTGTTGCTCAAAACCTACAGTATCTCATAACCAGGACAGTGTTTAGTGATGCTCTCAGAAAGTATTGGTTGTACATCTACAGCTTATGAGCATTTGGAGCTAACTCAATTCAAGACACCACAGATAATGAAACTTAGTCAAAACAGCTTTAACTTAGATTTTCTTTTTTAATTAAACTAGAAAGTCTCTCTCTCTCTCTCTCTCACACACACACACACACACACACACACTTAATTTAATGATTTCAAAATGAATATCACACCAGAAAATGTTTAAAACTCTGTTTAAAATAGGTTGTGTGATATGTGCACATTTACTGAATTGCTAGGCCTTTAATTTATCAYGTACGATCTTGTCTGGTTTTCATAATTGTCTACTTAAATCTTAAAAGTTGTACGTATGAGTTTCTTCAGGTTAAAACATCTGACGTGGTGTTATTTTCTCTACTCTTTCAGAGCCGAAACGGAGCGAGGCCTCAACAGGAAACACATCATTGAAGGTAACAACACGTTGCATCACGCAGCATCCATGCAGTCGCAGCTTTTTTCTTTCTTTTTTTTCCCCCCACTCCTCTGTTTCTGACTGTGTCTCCTCTGAAAGCTGAGTYAGCAGCGGTGCAGCAGACATTGGCAGATGTTGTGTCTGTAACACCCTCGCAGGTTTYGTTCCATCAAACTCCTGCCTCTTTAGAGTGCCGTAGTGTTAATTGCGTCAGCTGCTCCTCTGCTGGGTGCTTTAAGACTAACTGAGGCCATTTTTTTAAGCGTATAATGGTACAACTTTCTCAATCTGCCCTCTAAATCCCCCCACCTCCCCTCCATCCACCATTTCTGAAACCTCTGCACAGCGCAATGCACCTCCCTGCAATGACTCAGCTCTCTCCTACATTATTAGCATTCTCACCAGCCTCTGCAATGTTCTCCACCCCCCCGAACCAGATTTGATGAATACACCTTGGAAAAAAGGGATGGAGGACGGAAACAGAAGGCTGCAGGGGGGTGCATCGCTCATTAGATTAACTCAACTTTGTTGTGAAGCATTTGTGAGAGTCWTTTCTCAAAGGTGAATGCAGAGTAATCGTGGTTTTGCTCATGTCTGTGTGTTTGTTTGTCCGCTACAACAAGGATTTTAATGAAACCTTCAGGAMGTTGTCACTGGATCTACAGCTACAGCTGACTAACTTTTTGGAGTGAACTCGATGTAAGATGGCCGCCAAAACAAAACAATCTTATGCCGGGTTCATACGGGCATATAATTCCTAGATTTTGCCCTTCCAACATTTTAGATGGCGCTAAAGTTAAGCTTAGGAGATATATGGTGTGTGTGGTGTGTTAACAGTGAGCTAGTCGGCTCAGAAAGACTTTGAGTTTGTTCTGATCTCAAATTGAAGATATTTGACAAGTTGTCCTTTTTTTCAACTCGATTTATTAATTTCATTAAAACAAAACAAATAATTTTACAT